TAGTCACACAGGGACAACCTGAATTTAATTGCGAACTTAAACATTTAATGAAAATTCCAAGTCTGATATATTTGATTATTTTTAATGCTCTAAGCATCTTTAAGGGCAGACACAATATATCCAACAATCATGGGGCCTGTAAACATAGATGCTGACGTCCCTGGCTTTAGTGGTCATTCTTCGTCTGTCCCCAGTTTGTTGTCAGAGCTTCCCAGGGCTCATTGTACCCCGCACGCCCGAGTCAGTACTGGGGCCTGGAGAGTGGCCCCCTGGGGGATTCCCCTCAGAAGGGCCCCTGTGGAGCAGCCCTGTGATGGGAGACTCTTTTGCATCCAGTGTCCCATCCTGGCCACGGTACCCTCCCCCCCGGGACATCATCTGAGCGTGTCACCTTCAGAAAGTGACCCGACGTGAGTGGACTGAAACATTTCATTTTTCCTTCATCATGTGGCTCCACACGGCCCTCGTCCAAGCCAGTAAATCTAAGGTCCACTTGAGTGACTGAAATGAGTGCCGTCCACACTGAAGACCTGCCACAGTAGCCACTGTGAGGGACACACCTGCACAAGCATGCACATCTGCGCATGTGCTCTGCGCGTGCCAGGATGTGCACTCCGGCCCGGGTTGGCATGTGTGTATGTGAACAGTGTGTGCATGTGTGCCCACGCTCACATGTGTAGGATGTGCCCACATACATGTGTGTGCACACTCATCTGTGGGTGTGCTCATGTATGTGTGTATGTACACGCATAGACACCGATGTCCATGCTTACAACTGTGTGTGTGTAGTGGTGTGGGTGCCATGTGGGTACACGGCAGGTGGGTGCTGGGGCCTGGCCGGGCCCCCTGGCTGGCTAGAAGCCCCCGAGGAGACTGTCTGCAGGTGCGTGTCCCATGGCCAATCACCCTCAGCACCACAGTCCAGCTCTAGGGCGGGCCCTGAAGTGTGGCTTCCCCTGTCCAAGCCCAGGGAAGCAGGGGTCTCGGGGGGATGGGTTTCATCAGCCCCCCAGTAGGCAGGGATCAGCCACCCCACCAAGCCTACATCTGAGGTCTCTGAGCCCCACCGCTGCCTGCCAGCACCCAGGGAGGAGGAGCAGCTAGCGTGGCTGGTAGATGCAAAGACAGACAGACAGCAAGCTCTCCATGTGGATGGGTCCTCCCACCAAGTGGGCAGCTAAATCAACAGGCCCAGAAATCAGAGAGGAGCCTAGGGCCTGGCTGTCCATCGGTCTGTCTGTTTGTTTGTTTGTTCTGGAGTTGTGGAAACTTCCAGCCTGCAGGGGGGCCTGGTGCCCGGTGGGGGGGCAGGGGTGCTAGGACCCAGCCCTAGCTGACAGCCCCATCTGGCCTGGCCATCCCTCTCACTATCTCCCCCCATCTGTCCTCCTGGGCACTGGGCCCAGAAGACAACGCCCAAAGTGAGGGGGTGCAGCTCGGCCGGGCGCAGACGAGAGGCTGGGACCCAGCTATGTGGGGCTGTGCACACCCGGCCCATCCCCTCCCAGCTCCGAGAGGGCTGGTGTCAGCGAGGTGTGTGCCTCCCCGTCCCGCCTCCTCTGCTCCCCAGCCCTGCCACCCCTCCACTGTCTGCCCCACTCAGTGTCTTGGTTTCCCTCTGTTCGTCCTGCAGCCATCTGTCCCCCAGGGTTCAGGCATCAGCTCCGAGATGTATCAGGCCCTGCCCTGGGACTGGGAGGCAGGTGGCGCTGGGGTCCAGGTGATGCCACGGGAGGGGTAAGGGACCGGTCTCCCCACCCCAGCCATGCCTCTGCTCCTCTCCAGGCCACCAGAGTGCACACACCCGGCTATTTCTAACTCCCGGGCCTCTGCCAAGAGCTCCATCAGGTCTGCCTGGCCGGGTTCACTTGGGCTTCTCCTCAGAGCCCTCAGTCCCCCTCAGGGGAACCTCAGTGTGGGCCTGGGACTCCCAGGCAGGGCTGCTGCCTGCTGTCTGGCATACCCCACAGAGCCAGGGCCAGGCAAAGATCTCTCCACCAGAGGTTTGGGTAAGGGCTCAACACCAAGGAGGAGGCCCGGGGGTGGGCTCACAGGGACTACTGCTTCAGTGGGGACACCCAAGGGAAGGGCCAGGGAACAGTTAGGGGCCAGCGGAGCCACTGCCCTTTCGGGTGCATTGAGCCCCTAAGCTGAGGAGAAGGGTAGCCTCCTTCTCCAATCCCACAGGACAGTGTCACAAGAGACCACATCCAGCAGACGTGTGCACCACAGGGCCAGAGCAGGGAAACTGCTCCTGCCCCCATTCCAGCCTCAGCCCCCTGGCCACAAGCCCCCTTACGACCCCAGTCTGGGCCCAGCACCTGACAAGCATCTGCAAACCCACCGAGTATGTGCAGACAGTGCTCTGGCCCGCGGTGCCCCATGCTGGGCGTGGGTGGAATGTGGGACTCCAGCTTTGGCACAGACCCCTCGCAGATGGAGCCTGCTCCTCCTCCGCCTCTTGGAGCCCGCGGTTCTTCTCCCTACTTGGCGGCTCAGCTGGGGACCAAGGGGTGGGACACCAGACCCCAGTGGCCCCAGAGATCTCATGAGCACGGTGGTCCCCACCTGCCTGCCTCCAAGGCTGGGAGTCACTGGCCGTCCGTGCCCACATGAGCCACCCAGAAAGCCATGTTCATCGGCACCATGAGCGAGTACCTTCACTGGATGGAGGAAGGACAGGGGGTGCCCGCCTGGCCAGGATCCTGCACGAGGCGCCCATGGTGGGCCAGGAGCGGAGAGGTGGGGATAGAGCCAGGAAGGCAGGACAGACCCGCCTGTTCACCTCCTCCCCCAGTTCCAGCGAAGGTCGCCCCCTGCGGCTGCCCTGTTGAGACTAGGCCCCCGAAGTCCCAGTCTCCCAGGCTGCGGGGCCAGGCTGAGCCACTGACAGCAGCAGAACGGCCGGCCGGGTGCAGGCTAATCCTGGGGCGGGGCCTCCCAGAGACCCCTGAGGCCGAGTCAGGCAGAGGCACTGGAGGCGGTTCCCCCGGCCAATCAAGGGGATGCAGCCCAGTGCTGCCCGACTCTATGCTCTGATTCCAGGGAGAAGCGGTCCCCAGCGTCCCCTGCACTCACATCCTGGGGTCGCCTGCACAGTTCGTCTGTGTGAGCATTCGCCTCAGATGGCCAAAGAGCACGCCAGAGGCACAGGGGTGTGCCCCTTGACTCCAAGGGCACTTGAGCGCAAAGACTGCTGGCTTTGTGCCCGCCAGAGATGCACGAGGTTGCGCAGGTCCTTCCAGGGCTGGGAACCGAGAGGGTGGAAAGAATTCTGAGAGGGGTCCAGTGCCTTTACCATGGATGGAGAGTGAGGAGTGGGGTCCCGCCGAAAGCAACCATCTTGACAGCTCCCCTGGGGGAGCCATCGTGCTCTGGGGAGGTGGAGCTGAGCCGGCAGTGGGCAGCCAAGGCTCTCCAGAGGCCACCTTCTGTGCGCTGGGGAGAAATCTGAATTCGGGCTCCCTTCACGTGAAGCTCCGAGGATTCTGGGGCTGTAAGGTGAGTGAGCGCGGCTGGCAAGGCTCCCTGGGCAGTGCAGGCGGGCAGCCCAGTGCCCACGTGGGACCCTGTGCAGGACCCAGAGGGAAAAGCAAAGGCTGCCTCTGTGCCCGGCAGAGGACCGGCTGCTGCCTTAGCCCATCCCACCCCTCCCGCCTCCTGCCCTCGGCCAGACTGCTGGTCCCCACCCTCTATCCACCGGCTGCCAGTCAAAGCCGAGCCTCCGTTTTAGGGCCTGTAAAATGGTCTCACCAGAGGCCCCACCTCGCAGCCAGCCAGCGCGGCGGGTCCTGTCTTCAGGCACCGGAGCGAACCGCGCAGCCCGGGCCCCAGCCGCGCACCGCAACCTGATGGAGCAGACCCCGCGCAGCTCACGACCCCCGGCCAGGCCAGCCTTCCTGGCCCGCGCAGGCCGGCGCCCAGCCAGGCCTCCTACCTGCGGCGGTGGAGGCGCGGCCGGCAGGGGGAGCGAGGCGGAAGGGAGCCGCGGCCGGTCCAGGTGAGGGAGGAAGGCTTCCCGCAGGCGGCGGCGCGAGGGCTGCGGGCCGGGGCTGTGCGGGGCGCAGGGCCGGCAGAGGGGCCGGCCGGGGCGGCGGCGGGCGGCGGAGCGCGCGCGGTGAGAGCGAGGGCGGGGCGGCGCCCAGGAGGGACGGGGCAGGGTCGGAGGAGCCCAGCCCCGGTGGGCGGTGGAGGCGGCGGCTCTGCCGGGTTCTGGAGATCGGGCGGCCTCGCGCTTCGAGCGCTTGGGGCCCCTGTGGGCCCCTCCAGTCGAGGCTCCAGGAGGGCCGGGGCGTTGAGCAGGGCGTCCAGGGTTCTGCAGTTGCGCGGGTGAGTAGGGCAGAGGATGGAGCGGCCAGGGTAGGGCCCCTCACCTCTTCCCAGAGACCCTCTCCTCAACCAGCTTTTGCTGCCCCGGCACAGTTCTCTGCTCTGGCGCTTTTGCCCACCCCGCCAGGCCCCACAGGTCCCAGCTCAGGCGTGGGGGGGTTAATGAGAGTCTGGGAGGACCTGGCCCTCCCCTCCACCACCTCAGATGAGGGGGACCAGGGGACCTCAGGAGGGCGCCCCTGGAGGCTGATCCTGCGTCTCCAGGAAGCCCCTGGGTTTTTCACTTTCACTTCTCCCTTCTCAATCCTGGCATCACGAGGACTCAGTGTCTGGTGACTGCTTTCAGGGGTTCGCCCAGGTAATGAGGAAGGCTCCCCCAGGTGCATGCGACATGACCACCGGCACCCCCATCTGCTGGGGCAGAGTGCATCCCAGATAACACACAATCGCATGCAGGAACCACACCCCACCGAGCCCCCTCACAGGACCGACACATAGCCTGCAGGGCGGGAGCCAACCACCAGCGATAGGTACCCCTAGTGAACCGCCCTGCATGCCTCTCTGGGTGTGGACCCCCAGCCCTGGGCTTGCCTCCCGCAGTTCTGCCATGCCCTGCCCCCACCCACACCCCCTCCCAGGTGGGCTCTCCCCTTCATCAGGAGCAGCTCTTCCTGGGGTCCTGGAGGCAGTGGGCTGGCCCCTGCTCAGGGAAGAGGAACAGGGACATCAAGCCTGTTGGTTCCCCACATCACACTCTTCCCTAGACCTGCCCCTAGGTCCCACAGGTGACTGTTACTGTCACAGCCCCAAGGGGCCATTCAGGACCAGGGTGGGGGCCGTGCTCTGGCCACAGCTTCCCTGTCCCTACACAGTCCGCAAAGCTGCAGCCACAGCCTGGGGTTCGAGGGGTACTCCCTGTAGATGATCACACATACCACACCCCAGTAACACAGCACTACCCACTCCTTGCCTCACGCTCTATCCTGGACCACAAGCCCAGAGCCAGTCAGTTCCCACTGGAGCCGACTCCCTGGTCCTCAGTTCCTGGGAGCTCCCGCCTCCCAGCCAGCACCGCCTCCAGCCTGGGGTCTGAGGCCTGGGATTGTAAAAACCCTGGGAGAGCCTGCCCGCCTCCCACCCCCATCTAGGCAGGCGCAGGCGCAGGCCTACAACATGGTTGCAGGCGGAGAGGCCTTGGAAACGGAGGCCCTGCCTGCCAGAGCCTCGCGCAGGGCCAGAGAGGCTCCTGGGAGGCAAGGAGGCTTGACGCCCCGCTGGGGAGACTGTGGACGGGCAGGCCACGGATGCCCCAAACTGGTCAGAGAAGGCCCCAGAGGCAGTAGGTGGAGGAAGGCGCGGGCCAAGTCAGGCCTTAGGGTCCAGAATGCCTGGGCCTGGAGGCCTTGAGACCTTGGGGTGGACCTTGCCTCTCTCTGCTGGGCCTAGTAGGGCGCCGCGGCAGCAGGGCCTTCTCAGGCGGGCAGGCTGGCTGCCGGGTGGGTGGCAAGTGAGGGGTAGCACACGACCCGACCTGGCGGCCTTAACTCCTCCGACGTGTCCTCTGCTCCCTCGGCCAGTCCAGGCCCCGCCCCCGGCCCTCCCTGCACCGGCCGGGTGCGCGGGGAGGTCGGAGGAGCGGGCACTGCCCACCCTCCGGATGTATAAGCGTCCTGGCCAGAGGCGGGCGGTGCGCGCGGGTGCGCGTGACGCTCGGGCTCCCGAGCTGTGCGGCCTGGGCGGCGTCCCTCTGCTCGGGGTCCCCAGCCACGACAGTGAGCCGGCTGAAGGGGGCTGAGGGACGTTTGCTGGGCTGGGTCCTGTCTCGCTGCACCGAGAGGAAAGGACGACACCACGGCCCTGGGGTTGTCCGCCTGTGGCCAGTGCCGGAGCCCGAACTGCCCTCTCCTCACCCAGGTGCAGGGGCAGCCAGGGAGGAGGCAGCGGGAGGGGCCGAGGGCAGGAGCAGGGCAGGGCCCAGGCGGCCCCGCGGTGCTCCATCGGTGCCCCACTGCCGCGGGCTGGGGCTGGGTGCTCCCAGTGTTGTAGCCGCCTCCCCTCCAGGGCTTTAGAAGCTGACGGTGCCTTCGCCGTACAGAGGGAAGCTGGCCTTGCGGGAGCAGCGGGATATTTGAGGGGCGCTGGTCACAGAGGTCCCCGGGAGCAGCGGGATATCTGAGGGGCGCTGGTCACAGAGGTCCCCAGGAGCAGCGGGATGTTTGAGGGGCAGGGAGCTTGAAAAGCGGGAGGGCCTGTACTCACAGGGCGCTCCACCCGTCTGGGCCCCTTGGCTGCCACTGGCCCGAAGTGGGGGGCCGTGACGCCATAATCCCCTGGGTCCTGGGCTGGCGGCTGTGAGTGGCACCACAGGCCCCCGCCCCCGGGGCCCGTGGGCTGGGCCGGCCTCGGTGCGGCTGGGTGCACGCAGTCGGAGGCGGCACCGGCCAGGCCGCCGGGCGCCTATGGACGCACGGAGCCCACTGTCTCCCCGGGCCAGCGCATTCAGCATCACCTCTCTGGTTGCAGCGGAGGCCTCGGAGCACACCACTCGCCTGGGCCCTGGGTCCTCCGAGCGGGTGAAGCTTCGCCGGCTGCTGGGATCCCCGGCCGGGATGCACTTCAGCACCGTCACCAGGGACATGGAAGGTGAGCCTTCCTGCTGGTTCCGCACCGACACGGGCAGACCCTGCCGCTGCTGCCTTGGGCCAGCAAAGAGGGGTAGGCAGGGCCCCGACACGGGGTGGTGGAGGGAGCTCTGGTGGCTGGGCTCCAGGCTTCCAGCCTCGACTAGGGGCAGAGAGGAAGGGCGGGCATCCTGCCCAAAGGCTGTGCACCCTCCAGCTTGGGGCCCCAGCTGCAGACACCCGCACGCAGCCAGACACGGGCCCAGAGAGGGCCATTGGAGCCGGGTAGGAAGGGAGGGGAGGACCAGAGAAAGGCGGCAGAGGTGGCTGTGAGCTCGTGTGAGAGGAGCAAGCGAGTCAGGGAACAGGGGGAAGGGGAGAGAGAAAGCGGTGAGGGCGGCCGGGAGGAGAGGAAATGGAGAAAAGTGGAGGCAACACAGAACATGGGAAAGGAAGATAGGAAAAAGGAGAAGATGAAAGAGAAATAAAGGCAGAACGAAAGAGGAAAAACTGAAGGAAAATTTAAGACAGAAAGTGAAGTCATTAAAAAAAACAAAACTTTAGAGGAAGGCTTCAGTTTTTATTTTTTATTTTTAAAGAAAAAAAGTATGAATGAGGGAGAAAGGCATACAGAAATAAAAGGGAAAAGGCAGACTGAAAAGAAAACAAAGACTGATGAACAATAAAGCGGAAAGAAAGGAGGGGAACAGGAAAAGAGGAAGAGGTAGGGAAAAAAACAGAAATAAGAGAAACGAAAGAGAGTGGAAGAAGGAAAGACGGTTAGGAGGGAAAATTTAAACGAGGAAGACAAAGGTAAAGAAGTAAGCCGGAGGGAGAGCCCGGGAGAGGAAGGAGCGACGCAGCGCGGGCGGGCGGAGAGCGGGGCGCGGGCGGCCGGCGCGCCGGGGAGCCGGTCCGGGCGGTCGGGGCCCGGGCCGGGCGCGCCGCGGCGGGCGGCGGGGGGCAGGGGGGAGGGGCGCGGGGGGGGAGGGGAGGCCGGCCGCGGTCTCGGCGGGGGGGCGCGGGGCGGGGCGGGGCGGGGCGCCTCCTCGGGGCGGCCGCGGTGTGGGGCGGCGCGGCCCGGGGCGCAGCGCGGCGCGGCGCCCGCCACTCGGCCCGGCGCGCGGGGCAGCGCTCAGCTCGGCGGCGGGGCGGCGCGGCGCCCGCCGGTCATGATCTCCGCCGTGTCCAGCCCGTGGCTCACGCAGCTCTCGCACTTCTGCGACGTTGCAGCCTTCACGGCCAGCAGCCTGAGCAGCCTGGGGGCCGCGGGGGGCTTCCCGGGCGCCGCGTCGCCGGGCGCCGACCCGTACGGCCCGCGCGAGCCCCCGCCGCCGCGCTACGACCCGTGCGCCGCCACCGCCCCGGGCCCGCCGCCGCCGCACGCCTATCCGTTCGCGCCGGCCGCCGGGGCCGCCACCAGCGCCGCCGCCGAGCCCGAGGGCCCTGGGGCCAGCTGCGCGGCCGCCGGCAAGGCGCCGGTGAAGAAGAACGCGAAGGTGGCCAGCGTGAGCGTGCAGCTGGAGATGAAGGCGCTGTGGGACGAGTTCAATCAGCTGGGCACCGAGATGATCGTCACCAAGGCCGGCAGGTCAGGGCGCCCCCTCCCCGCGCGCGACCCTCCCCACGTGTCACCGGTCTCGGGCAGCGCCTTGGTCCGATCCTCGCGAGTGGGGCCGAGAAACGGGGTGGGAAGCGCGGCCCGGCCACCTGCGGGCCCCTCTCGGCGGGGCCGGCTCCTTTGCTCCGCGATCCCGGCTCCAGCGACAGCCGACGAGCGCGCCGGGCGGGAGGGGACGGCGGGGCGGCCCAGGAGGGCCAGCGGAGGGAAGCCCGGCGAGCGGGACCGGCCCTCCCGACCCGTGGCCCCAGGAGCCGCGGCGTCAGGAAGCAGGAGCCCGCGCTGTGCACACCCGGCTCGGGGGAAGGCAGCCGCCTCCGAGGGGCCTCCCAACCAGCCGGCTCCCGGTGGATTCCCCCTCCAAGGAAAGGCTCTTCTTTGGTTCCCTAGTTCAGTCCATCGGGGCTAGGTGAAGAGGGGCATCTGGGCAATTGTCTGAAAATTTTAGGAGAGAGTTAAGACCCTTAAAAACAGCGTGCTCTTGTTTGGTGGAGATTGCCACCCAGTTTTCTCAGGCCTAAATTTTGGGTGATTGTGGGGCCTGGCTCTGCCACTGGTGCCCACCACCTTCCATTTGGCCTGTGTTTGTTTTAAGAGCTCAGAGAGAAGGGGAACAAGTTTTGCGATGCAACCCATTTGACCAGCAGACAAAGGCGGGTGCCGGACTGTGTCTAATGTACACAAGGAGACACCAGCTCCGTGTCTGCACAACCAAGGAGAGCTCAGGGCCTGTTTGCAGAGCCTTCTTGAGGTTTCTGTTTCCCTGCCGTGGCCGTTCTCCCTGGGGACTCTGGGGCCTGTACTTGGCTCCAGCTTGCGTGTCTTCTCCAGGGCCCCCTTGCTGTCCGTGGACACATGGGCCCCCCTGAAGACTACACCCCAGCCTCTGGCCCGGGCCGGCCCAGCAAGGGTGTTGGCGGTGGCCAGGCTTCACCCCAGCACCCTCCGGTCTTGCAGAGGCGGGGAGGGGGTGGTAGGCCTGTCCAGGAGGGCTGCTTTACGGCATCTGTGTCCTGCCCGCCACCCACAAGGAGTTGCCTGTGAGGGGAAGCAGTAGGAAGGGCAGGTGGGGGCCGAGCCCTCCTGCTGTCTTCCAGGGCCCAGCGGCCGGCCGGCACTCCTGTGCCGTCAGGACAGGGCCAGCTCCCGGCCGGCAGCCCCTGCAGGAGCCACAGAATGTCCTTTCAAGAGCCTGGGTCAGTCACTGAGTTAGAGTCCAGGGATGAGGACAGTCAGGGGACCGTGAGGGCACAGCCCACTTTGCCCTGACTAGCTGCGTTTTGGGGTTATGGGGTGGGAACTCGCTTGAGTGCCCGAGGAAGGTGGGGAGACGCTGGTGTTGGTCTGGAGGCAGGCCCTGAGAGTCGGGGCAGGGTCGGGGCTGCGGGCTCCCAGGCCTCAGTGAGGCCAACTACCCGGTTTCACTTTGTTCAAGCCGGGAGTTTAGGTGGATCCTTTTGATCGAGCTGGGGGAGGCCCTGCCAAGCGAGTGAGTGAGCGAGCGCGGGCTGAGAGTCTCTGGGCCAGCGACTCGGGAGTCCTGCTGCTCAGTGTTCCCTGCCGAGACCAGCCAGACGGGACAGCCGGGAATCGGAATCGGTGGTTGCTAGGCTGGGTCTACGCAGGCAAAGGTGGTGGAAGAAGCTCCAGGCTGAGCGAAGCTGGGGTGTGGAGGCGCAGCTGTGGCACTGCGTTAGCCAGTTTTGTGTTTCAGAAAAGGGGGCAGGGTCTGCCCTGGCGCTCCCCTTGCCCGCAGCCGGTAGGGGCCTAGTCGGGTCAGAGCAGCCGAGTGACGGGAGATGTAACGGAGGGGCCAGGCCACCGAATGGAGCAGCTGTCAGGGAGGTCGCCATCCTGGCCGATCAAGGTGGGGTGGCCCTGCCTTCCCCTACCTGAGGTGACCCGAGGCCCCACTGCCCCCAGGCGCATGTTCCCCACCTTCCAAGTGAAGCTCTTTGGCATGGACCCCATGGCCGACTACATGCTCCTCATGGACTTTGTGCCCGTGGATGACAAGCGCTACCGGTGAGTGCCCAGAAGGACCTGGGAGGGTCCCCACCTCCTGATGCCTCCCAGGGCGGCCCACAACATTAGTGACCAGGTGGGCCCAGGCACCTGCACCTGCCTGACCTGCTCCCTCCCCACCGCCATACCGGATTCCATTCCCACACACCCTACCCTCAGCGGTTCTCGGTTCTCAAGATCCCCCCTCAGGAGGCTGGGCTCCCTGCTGCAGCTGTGGGCCTGAGACAGCTCCCATTCCTCTCCGCCCGGCTTGGCCTGAGGTGGGCAGGCCCCTCGCACACAGCCCCTGCCTTTCTTCCTGTCTCCCTCTCCCAGGAGTTGAGCGTGGGCACCTTGTCCCCTCTCCCCATACCCCAGGAACGCTGGGCCCCGGAGCCAGGCAGGAAAGGTGGGGTGGCTGCGAGAGATTATGCGGGGCGGGCCTCAGCCGCCTGGACAATTAACAGCAATTAATAAAGAGAACGTGGACCGCTCTGCGCCTGAGGCCCCTGGCGCAGCCAAATCCGGGCTCCCGCCGCGCTGGCGACACTGGAGGCCAGCGGGAAAGCCCAGAGCGGGCCGACCCGCTTGCAGCGAAATATGGCGCCGGAAGCCCAGCCTCCTCCCTCGGTACTGGCTTCCTGCTGTCCTGTGTATTGGGAGTGGAGGGGGTTTTCTGCAAGATCCCCCTCAGAAAAGCTCCCAGCCCGTGTGGAAGCTCCCAGCCCACGTGGCACCGATAGCGAAACTCATCAAAGGCACTTTCCGGTTTACTCATTCGGCAAGGCTCTCTCAGTTCACCCCAACATGGCACGACCCCTGTTCTGTGCCACCCCAGGTATGCCTTCCACAGCTCCTCGTGGCTGGTGGCTGGGAAGGCGGACCCTGCCACGCCAGGCCGTGTGCACTACCACCCTGACTCGCCCGCCAAGGGTGCACAGTGGATGAAGCAAATTGTGTCCTTCGACAAGCTCAAGCTGACTAACAACCTGCTGGACGACAACGGCCACGTAAGCGACACCCTCCCCAGGCTGCGCGCTGTCCTGGGTGCAGGCCCTGGAGAGCTTGTTGGTCAGAGCCAGAGGCAGGGCTGGAGCAGCTCCGGCTGCGGGGGAGGGACAGGTTGGGGCTCATGGTGGGGGGGCGGTCCTCGGACCTGGGAGAAGGGTCACCCTGCTTCCCTTACCCCACTCCTGGGCTCTTGCTGGAGGTTTTTAACTGGAAAGGCGGGGGCTGTGTGTCAGGGTAGGACAGGAGGCTTTGTGGAGTCCTGACTGGTGATGCCGCTTCCCTGCCCAGCTGAACTCGGCCCTGCGGCCGCCTACCCACGGCAGGCCCGCAGGAGTTCTCCGGGATCTAAGGAAAGAGAGTCTAAGCGTCTAAGCCCAGATCTTTTGCCCCTCAGAGCATCTTTCCCGGAGGTGCCCAGTTGGTCGCAGCCTCTGCTTGGGCCCCGTGGCTGGGCTTCATTTTGGGAGTTAAGGGTTTTGCCCAAGTTCTCTGGGAAGTTCACTGCCTATCCAGACCTTGGCCCATTTCCGAGCTCCGACCTTGCCATCTTGTTTTCCAGATTATTCTCAACTCCATGCACAGATACCAGCCCCGCTTCCATGTTGTCTACGTGGACCCCCGAAAAGATAGTGAGAAATACGCCGAGGAGAACTTCAAAACCTTCGTGTTCGAGGAGACGCGCTTCACCGCGGTCACTGCCTACCAGAACCACCGGGTGAGGCCCAGGGGTGGGCAAATTCAACACTTCTGGGAAGGGGTGCAATTTCCAGTCTCTGCCTGGGGGACAGAAGGCTTGGACCCGCACACTGTGGGTCCGAGTGGAACACAACCCGACACTGATGCAGCCCCACCCCCAAGGCCTCCAGCAGCCGGCTCTCCTCTGCTGCAGGCGGCTCAGCCTCCTGTCAGGTTGACCTCTCAAGCGGCAACTGTCACTGCGGCCTGAAAGTTTGTTTTCCAAACCATTCCGGAAACTCCCCATCAGGGGCTTGATCCGTGGTTTACCCAGATTCCTAGGGCGCCCCTCCACTCCCTGCCACTGCGGGTGGGGGCTGGAGGTGACCACATTCCCATCCCAATCACTTGGGGCCACAAAGAGGGGCTTCTTAGTGAGAAAGGAGGCTGCCGAGTCCTTGCTGCAGGAGCGAGAGACAGTCTCGGTGGGGAAGGGAGCAGTTGTGAAGCGGGTTCTTGTCCCCGGGGAGTAGAGAGGCCCTTCCTGGGGGATCCCTCTTGACACCACCCCCCCCTCCCCGAGGCCCGGTGGTCCCCAGCGCAGGGGCTGGGCGGCTTGCACAATGCTCGCTTCTCGGCAGATCACGCAGCTCAAGATCGCCAGCAACCCTTTCGCCAAAGGCTTCAGAGACTGCGACCCTGAGGACTGGTGAGTGCCCTCTGAGGAGACCAGAGCGCCTGTGCCCTGGCCGCGCGCCCCTGACCCGCTGCCCGCCTCCCTCCCACAGGCCCCGGAACCACCGGCCCGGGGCCCTGCCGCTCATGAGTGCCTTCGCGCGCTCGCGGAACCCGGTGGCCTCGCCCACGCCGCCCAACGGCGCGGAGAAAGGTATGGCCAGGGTCGTGGGATCCGGGCCGCGGCCCTGCGCGCGCTCCGCCCCAGGCAGGCGGCCGCGCCCGGCCTCGCCTGCGCCCCAGGGGCGCTCCGGCCTTCGCGCCGGTTGCACAACGGCCGTGGCGGCGGGCAAGCGCGCACTCGCCCGCCCGGCCGACGGCTGCGCCCCGCCCGCCGCTGCCGCCCGCGAGGGGCGCGGGCCTCTGGGGAGGGCCTGGGTCTCGGGCGGGTTCGGAGAGAAGGGGCGGGAGCGCCCGTGCGCGGCCCGGCGCCGGCGGGCCCTGGCGGGTCCCCTCTGCGTGCCGGCGGGCCGCGCTCACCCCTCGGGCCTCCCTGCAGACGCGGCCGAGGCTCGGCGAGAATTCGAGCGCGACGCGGGCGGGCCGGCCGTGCTCGGGGACCCGGCGCACCCGCCGCAGCTGCTGGCGCGGGTGCTGAGCCCCGCGCTGCCCGGGGCCGGGGGCGCCGGCGGCCTCGTCCCGCTGCCCGGAGCGCCCGGAGGCCGGCCCAGCCCCCCGCACTCCGAGCTGCGCCTGGAGGCGCCCGGCGCGTCGGAGCCGCTGCACCACCACCCCTACAAGTACCCGGCCGCCGCCTACGACCACTACCTCGGGGCCAAGAGCCGGCCGGCGCCCTACCCGCTGCCCGGCCTGCGCGGCCACGGCTACCACCCGCACGCGCACCCGCACCACCACCACCACCACCCCGCCGTGAGCCCCGCCGCGGCCGCCGCCGCCGCCGCCGCGGCCGCGGCCGCCGCCAACATGTACTCGTCGGCCGGGGCCGCACCGCCCGGTTCCTACGACTACTGCCCCAGATAACCGGGCGCCCGCACAGCCCGGGGGCCGGCAGAAAACGCGCTCCCCCAGCCCCGGGGCCACCGCGGGCTCCCCTTCCCCTGCCTCGAAGCCATCAGGGTCCTAAGCCCTCCAGCCTCGAGAGCCGTGGAAGTGTCCGGCTCCCCAGTCCGGGAGCCACCGCGGGTCCCTCCCCAGCCCCGGGGACCCGGGTCTGCCCGCCAGTGCCAAAGCGCCGGTTAGCGGCGGAAGGAAGTGTATTTATTGTTCTCTGCGAGACCGTGTCAGTTGCAGTGTAGACGACCCGAGAGCTCCGTCTGCAGGCCGTGTAGATACGTGTAGATAATTGTAGATACTGTAGATACCGCGCCGGCGCCCACTTGATAAACGGTTTCGCCTCTTTTGGAAGCTGCCTGCGTGTCCGTTTATTTGCGTCCAGTTAGATTGCATGGGGGTCTCGGGCACAGTGCGTGCGGTCAACTCGTCGACCTCGGGTTCTCCCCAAACCCAGTCCCCTCGGGCTGCCAGTCTGTCAGGGAGGAGCAGGGTCCCTGCAGGGCCCTCGGAGCGCCTCCTCCCAGCCCCCTCCTGCCTGGTCCAGAGCCTGTTCTCGCCACGCCTCTCTCCGTAGCCTCCCTACCCTCTCTGAGCCCTGTCTGAGCGCTGGCCTCCCCAGCTTCCACCTTGCCACTTCATCCCAGCCTCCCCCAGGCTGTGGGGACCAGGACTCTGCCCCAGCCCCAGGTGTGCATCTGTCCTTTTTACTGAAATTCCCCACCGGGGCAGTCGTCCCTCTTCTAGGACTTGGTCCTGCGCCCCTGGCCTGTTTGCAGGACGCGTCCTGCGGCATTTCCATAGAAGCTGGGAGTAACAGTCGGGACGGGACTCTGCCAGCTGGGGGCTGGGATAGGGAGAAGCCCTGACTGATCGGAAAGACGAAAACAGGCAGTTCTGCTCTTCTAGCATTTCCCCTGGCTGGCCCTTGCCCAGGCCTGCATTTTCCCCTGTTTATTGACTTTACTGGCTGTGAGTGTCCCCACGGAGTGACCTGGACAGGGGGCACAATGATGGTGGTCATGAGTCATCTTGAAACCTGTCTGGGAAGCATTTTTCCCAGGCCAGGTGGTGAGGGACCTCTCCCCGCTATCTCAACACCAGGGATGGGGTGAGAGGGACCCTTTGATCCCGCCCTTCCTGAGTCCAGGCAGGAAAAGCTGACAGCTGGCTGGTCAACTGCAAGGCGGCTAACTCGGACACGAGATGACGGGAAATACAAAGGGCTGAGGTTCTACCCCCTTCCATGCCCGTCCCAGTGCATTTGTGGCAATCGCTGCCACGTGGCAGTGCCAACCTGGTGCCACCTCTCTGAGGGCACAGACATTTCCCGATGTCCACCCTGGACTGGACACTTTCTTCCAAGATGTGTTTGTCCTAGTGGCATGAAGTGACTGAGGGCTTAGCAGTTGGATGGCAGCAACCATTCCCATGAGGCAAGTCTCGGAAGGGGGAGGGTGGCCAAGGCTGCTGAGGGACGAGCTCTGGAGCCAGGGCCCCCTCAAAGCCTCAGAGGGCACCTAGCACCAGGAAGTGAAGACTCTTGCAGCATCTGCCCGAGTGGCCAGCAGGCCCCGGGGACACAGCTTCAGGGATGCACTCCTAAGGGCAGCTCTGGACACCCATCCCGGGTGGACACTCGTCCATCCCCACTGCAGCTCTCCTGGGTGAGCCGCATGTGCCAGTGGGCTCACCGCTTGGGGAAGCCTGTTTCTCACTCGCACCACAAATGCACCCTGCACCCCTCCTATCCTGGGAGGCTGCAGGAGTGACGGGCTGTGGGCTGCCCTGCAGAGCCACCCCCGTGGGTGCTGGGCACCCCTCCAGGGCTTCCCTCTCCCTGTGCACATGTTCGACAGTTGGGCCATGGGGGTGGGGCACGGGGTGAGAACAGCAGTTGGAGAGAGCTCTGCTTTGCTTTTATTCAAAACTAAAGTGAGAAGAAGCTCCCCTGAGCTAACGGTGGTGCAGAGGAGAGGGTACGGCTGAGCACGGGCCTTTGGTGTGCAGCTTGCAGCCTTGTGCTTGTGCACCCCTCCTGCAGTTACTCCCCGCTCAAGATGGAGAGTCACACTGCTGCTCAACCTGGTGGCCACTAGCCATAGAAGGCTACTTATGTTTTAATGAAAGAAAGTAGAATAGAACTTAAGCATTCAGTTCCTCACTGGCTTCATTCCAGAGGTGCATGTGCTGTGGTCAGCCCGCTGGACGCCGCCGCTGAGGTCTCGCCCTGCACTGGGGAACAGCCCCCCCAAGATGTGGTTTTCTCTCCTCCGCCCCCATAAATGAGTTTGCCGGGCTAACAACTTCTCATAAATCAGATCGTGCAGCGGGGCGCCTGGTCCAGCTGCTTCTGCTCCATAGTACGTTCCCAGGCTGGCCTATGCTGCTGCTCACTGGTCAGTTCTCCTTACTGCTGACCAGTGCCCAGTCCCCTGCAAGGGGCACTCGGTTGTTTTAGGATGGATGCTGTGATGCTCAGCGCTGCAGGCAGGACTGGCTCCTCTGGACAGCCTGCTGTGTGCTGGCCACGCATCTCATCACTGTCACCCTTCCTTTCATCCTGAGGTGGAGGCGAGGGAAGGGCTGGCTCTGGTCACCTGGCTTCTGCTGGGAGCTCCGCATTTCAGAAAGGCACGAGGGCCATCTCTCGGTCGCTCATTCCTAGAATGAATGCTTGGTGAGCACCCCCAGCTGTAGGTGCTGTCTGGCCGCTGCTGTGTGGGGCTGACATTCCTGTGGGCAGCTGCCCCTGGTCAGCCATTGGCTTCCCCGTGATGTGGCTGTCCCGCCTTTCTGTGACCATCCTTTCCTTCCCACTTCTGGCTCCCTCACTTTGAGCTCCTCTTCGAACACGCCTGGCCTGCCCCTTCTGGGAGCCGCCGTGCTGCGTGGGGCTCAGGGTCCTGTCCAACCTGGCTCCTCACAGCTTCACCCCTCAGCTGCTGGACTCCCCCACAGCACCTACCTCGGGTTCCCCAGTTGGCCCAGAGGCCCCGTTCTGCTCCCCTTGCCTGTCTCCAGGTGTCCAGCTGCCAGGACCTGGGAGGACAAGAGCATAGACTAGAAGGGACCTCAGAGATCTTCCGGCCCAGGGACCCAGACCGGAGCCGTTCAAAAACCAATGGACACCCAACCTGTGACACAGTAGAGGAGGGGTGGGGCCTGTCCACTGCCCCCTTCACCCCTTTGGGTCCCACGTCAGGGGTCTAGGAAACTGAAGGGCCCTGGGTTGTGGTTGGATGACACCCTGGCAGCCCAGCTCCCTGAGCCTGGCGCCCCCTCAGCTCCAGGGAGGCTGGGGGACTCTACACGGAGTGCACCTTTAGTTGTCTCCCAGCACAAATGACCCATGTTTTTGGAGAACTCGACAAGTGCCGCCTCCTCTTACCTGAGTCTCCCCCAAGACATAGGAACTCTAACGACCCCACAGAACACAGGATCTCGCCCAGTCTCATGGCTGGTGCTCTGAAACGGAACCTGCTCCTGCACTGCCACCCAAGTGGAGCTGGTGACACCGCATGCGGCGTCAGAGACAAAGAGAAAGCACCTGGAACAAGTGTGCTGGCTGAGCTGTAGGGCATAGTCAGACATGGGCACGGCCTCTGGTGGCAAACACCTTCGAGGGCCTGGTTACGCAGCCTCCCCAGGGAAGCATCGGGGTGCAGAGGCCATGTGCTGGCATTCGGTTGCGGGACGAGCGCAGTCTATCTAGTGGCGCCTCAAGCCTGTAGTTGCAGAGGGAGGGGGCCCCTGATGGTGGTGGGGCTCCAGTCCCCCTTGCCTCCAGCCAGGGAAGTCCACGGAGTGTGTGGGACCCGTCTGTTGGCCGGTGGTTGGATGAGCTGAGGCACTGCTCTCCAGGTGTGCTGCAGATCAAAGTGCCCAAGCACTGGGGAATCCAGGGGCACAGCTGCCGTGGGCAGAGCCCTCGGGGCCGCCTGCGGGCGGAGCGAGGGAGGGTGGGGGCCAAGGAGCTTCTTCTAGGACTAGAGGGGTGATTCCAGTGATGGGGGGAGCGCAGCCCAGCTTGGAGCTGGGTGCGAGGGAGAGCACGTGCCCTGGGTTTCGCAGGCCCCATGCCTCAGTTTCCCCTTAATGCTGATCTGCATTTGGGCACATCTGATGCGTGGGCACCATCCTGACCCCACATCCCTCCCTCGGCCCTCACAGCTGCCTCTGCATCCTGACAGCGCCCAGGGCGCGAGCCCAGGGTACCCCGCCCTGGGGGCACTGTGGGGTCTCCTGCTCTACCTCACACATTTTCTCTATTTAAAAAAACACCAATCGTGCTTTTGATTCACTTTCCTGCTTGTCACACTACTCCAAACCAGATGGCCTCACAAGAGGAGACTTCGGAGGCCAAGCGTCTGCACTTAACCGCTGCCAGGTCTGCGTGTGGGGAGCAGCAGAAGCCACAGCATTTTGTGAAGAACAGCTCGCGCAGGGGAGAAGCTTAGGTTTAATAGCAGTAATTAAATTATCTTCTTAATTGTAAAGAGGAATGGCACTGTCAACATCCTGTCTCTCTCAGCTTTTGATCGCGCATAAAGTGCACCGAGTCCTCTTCTTCCAGCGGCTGCCACCTGCGTCCTCCCCCCCCCCCCCCCTGAAGCCGCCGGTCTGCTCCTGCCCCGCAGAGCTCCTCCAGGGCTGCGGGAGGCGATTCAAGATGCCCGCCGGTGTTCCTCTCATCAGCATCTCTAAGTGGGGACGCATCTCAGTGGAAGGGGGCTCGCAGTCTCGATGGATGGCCTTTCCCCGGAGGCCCAAGCCCAAGTGTGCACCTTACGTTAGACGGGGGCCAGGCGGGAGGAACACGGTCATTTTTTCAGCCACGTATTTATGTGTGGGGCCTGGAGCAGCTCTGGGTGCTGGCATCTCGCCGTGAAGACAGCCAAGCCCCCTCCAGTCCAGGGAGTGCTTGCAAATCAGGACCAGCCCCTCAGCCTCCAGTCCCGAGCCCCCCACAGCGGCCCCGCCATTCCAGGATGGGCACCCCTCCCTTTTCTTTGCCCCCTTCTCTTTGTAACTCTAGCTGAAATTCCTCTCTCCATTTTTTTTTCCTACTTTTGAACCCACCCTTTATCCAAGAACCTATTTTCTAGATTCTTCCCCAGGACAGCTTCTTCCGTGATCTCATCACACAGTGAAAGGTGATGGCAGCAGGGTTGGCCGATGGAGGCCTTGCTGAGGAAGAGGCCGTCACTCTCGGGCGCCCTTGCGCTGCCCGCTGCTCTGGGCAGCACATCCCCTGGAGGACATGGCAGGCTCTTTGTTGGAGGGCCAACTCCCCTTGGCTCTCCTTTGTGGTAAGGGAGAGCCTGGTGCACTCAGGTCACTGACTGGGACAC